CAAATGGCTGCAATATAACAAAGAGTGAAAAATTTAAGGGGGTCTGAATACTTTCCGTACCCACTGTATATATATACACACACACATACATATACATACACATACATATATATATATATATACACACACACATATACATACATATATATATATATACATATATACACACATGTATATAGTATATACAAAATACAATTTAAATGGTAACAAAGTGGTAGCACATTCTTTTGATGTATTCTGTTTTGTGCAGCAAATGCCTGCCTGAAGAAAATGAAACTGAATATAAGGACATTTTCAAACAAAAAACTCACTATAAATTATAAAGTATAAAGACAAGTCAAGTTTCTAAAAGCAACAACATCTGAACACATCTCAACTAAAAATGATCAAACATTAGTTAATACACTTCCAAGTTTAAACTCTGTATATTTTACAGAACAATTCCAGTACTATGTAGGGTTGACAAAAACGTTCAATGTACAATCTGAAGTCCTGAAGTAAACCATTTGAGAACCACTGGTTTAGACTAGATCAAATTGTAATATATTAATAGGATTCTAAAGATCCAATCAAACTATGATCTGTGACTTCATATGCAGATAATCAATACAACAAATGTGCATATGAATCTTTAGATAGAGTAATAATGCACTCGTAATGGTTACATACTCATTTAAAGCCATAAGGCATAGCCTGAGCTATTGCTTATTTGATTACAAACACCAAAAGTACATTAGGCTCAAATGAGCTAATGCAAAGGGATATTAGTGCTCGTCAGCGGTCAGCGGGCCTAAATGAGATGACAGATCGCTACAGACCGTGGCGGAGGCGGCGACGGCAGTGACGGCAGGAAGATACAGGCAGCTCAACAGTACCTAATTCACTAAATGTCAAGCTCTCTGATGAAGAATAAAATGGTTCTGAAGTGCAATATGCTTGTGTTTAATGACATCAATAAGCCTTGCAGGAAATTTCATTTATACTACATTATTGCTTCAGTGCCTCAGGTGCTTCTCTTTTGATATATGAGAGAAGAGAATGAGGGGGTCTTGAAAAGGTGCGTGGGTTCTGTTCAAGACGGTCCGCAGCCGTTCACTCTCACATATGATTGAGTATATGTGTCCGACAAGATGGTGAGGGGTCTTGTAGAGAAGACGTGTGAATGGGTGCAACATGTTCCCTCATCATGTGCCAGTGGAGAGGGGACTGTCCATGCTAACATCACCGGTTGGAAAAACAATATACCGGAATTATAGATCTTCCATATATACTGTAGGCAGCGGAAACAGACAGTATATTCAAAAATTATTCAGTTCAGTTTATTTAAAAAATTCATTTTCATTTAACACCATTGTATTAGGTTTCTCATTTAAACAATTGCATTGTGGTAAACTGACTTGAAACAGTTGCATTTTGGCTCGTTTTGAAAGAACATGTTTCAATTAAGTAGGCTAAAAATAACATTTGATGCTTGTTCAATTTACTTAAGTAAATGAAGTTAATCCAACACAATTCTTTTCAATAATATGATAAAATAAATGATGTTAATTAAATGCAACATAACCCAGTTACGTGGAACCGGTTGACAAAGTTAAGAAAATCCAACGTATGTGGTTGAAGTGCAATATATTCAGCAAAAGCAATTTTGCTACTGTTGTACAATAACAGACTGCTGCTCTCTTGCTTCATCTCAGTCACAAACAATCTTAAAATTACAACATCACAGCACATTTATTATGTAAATAAATGGCTTTAACATTATCTTCTCTCAATGAACGAAGAGAAGAGAAGAGAAGAGAAGAGAAGAGAAGAGAAGAGAAGGGTTGATAAAAAATAAAGTAAAAGAGTAATAACATTAAATATTTGCATAATGCACCGAAATATATAGTCATGGCCAAAAGTTTTGGCAGTGACATAAATGTTGTGTTTTGCAAAGTTTGCTGCTTAAGCCGTTTATTCACATTGTTTCTAGATTATTGCATTTTAAATAATTGCTAAAAGCTTCGTTGGCCAAAAAATGAACTTTTCACACAAAAAAAAATATTTTTTTGATCCGGACACAAAATGACCAGCTAACATTAATTGACTAATCATATCAGCAGCATATGTGAAAATGTGAATGAGTACTAGTCAGGTGAAATCACTATCATACTAATTAGATAGTAAGAGCAGACTGATTGCTATAAAAGGAGGGAAGAAGCGCTTTCAATCACTGTGTTCTTGTTAGCAATGGTTACCTCCAAAGAAACACGTGCAGCCATCATCGCTTTGCATCAAAATGGCCTCACATGCAAGGAAATTCCTACAAAGAATATTGCACCTGAAAGAACCATTTACCTGATCATCAAGAACTTCCAGGAGAAAGGTTCAACTGCATTGAAGAAGTCTTCAGGACGTCCCAGAGTGTCCAGCAAGCACCAGGACCTTCTCCTCCTGAGGAGTCAGCTACGGAATCGTGTCACCACCAGAGCAGAGCTTGCTCAGGAATGGCAGCAGGTTGGTGTGAGAGCATCTGTACGCACAGTGAGACCAAGACTTTTGGACAACGGCCTGGTGTCAAGAAGGGCAGCAAAGAAGCCACTTCCCTCCAAGAAAAAACGTCAAGGACAGACTGAAAATCTGCAGGAAGTACAAGGATTGGACAGCAGAAGACTGGTGCAAAGT